GTAGATTCTACCAATGATATTCGTTCCGTTCATTTCATCCTTTTCCCCGAAGTGAAGGAAGAGTATTTCGATTCTGAAATTGAACGTAGCATGTCGCGAATGCAGGCAGTCATCGAATTGGGTCGCTTTATTCGTGAAAAAAATAACATCGGACTTAAGGTTGTAATGATGATTACTATTATTATTTTTTTTTGTTTTAATATTCACAATACTTTGATACGATGATTTATTTAATTACGTTAGACACCTTTAAAAGAACTAGTAGTCATACATCCGGATTTACAGTATCACTCTGACGTTTTTTCTCTTCAAAAATACATTATTGAGGTCTGGATTTGCGTTTAAGTACATAATAAATATTGAAATATTGTTCAAGGTAATAATACATGTTATCAACTTTCCATTAGGAACTTAATATTAAAAATTTAGTAGTCACATCCGAAGAAGATAAATATGGTATTAAATATAAAGCGGAGGCTGATTGGAAAGTTTTGGGTCAGAAACTCAAGAAAGGTGTTATAGAGGTTAAGAAGGCGCTACCAACATTGACATCTGATCAGGTTAAAGAGTTCCTTCGAACGAAAGAAATGTTAATCAACAGCATTAAAATTGTTGATGAAGACCTTCAGGTGATTAGGTACCACGAGAAGGCAGATAGTCACTATGAAACAAACACAGATAAGGACGTGTTCATACTCTTAGATGTTAAGGTCTATCAAGAGTTACAGGACGAAGGGTTGGCGCGCGAAGTTGTAAATCGTGTTCAAAGACTTCGAAAGAAGGCAAATCTTCATTATTGATTGATGGTTATTGGTTGTCATTTTTATCCAAAAATTAATTGAATTTTTCGCATTTCCAGGCTGGATTACAGGCTATAGACCCTGTCTTAATGTATTATAAATTTATAAAAGATGTGGATAATCAAATTGAGAGAATACTTCAAACACAATCTGAAGTTATTGTAAAGATTCTTAAACGTCCGTTATTTCCAATTTCTGAAAAAGCCGAAGGAACTGAGGTTATTATTGAAGAAGAACAAGAGGTATATTATCTTAATTCTTATATTAGTTTTACGCTTATTGCAAATTTACTAATTTAATATTTTCTATATTAATTATTTAATTAAGGTCAATGAATCAACTTTTCTTTTATGTTTTGTCAAAGATTGGTGAAATTCTTATGAATCTACAGTAAATAAATTATATCGTATTGTTAATGAATACATAGATTAAAAAATGATTTAATATAAGTTTTATTTGACCAGTACGGTTTATTTTATTGACAACTGTATAATGACATTTGACAATTTGGCAAATTTTCACGTGACGTCTTTATTGTAATAACTTCAAAAATTTTAAATTAATAAAGCATTAAAATATAACAAATTTAATACTATATTTTTTTATTTATTTATATATCTTTTATAATATTTATAGTAGACCATAATTTATTAATCAATTGAATATACAAATGCAATACAATATACAGTATATATATATATATATTTTTTAACACACTAGCTCATTCCTGTGCTAACATCAACACTTTTATTAATTATTAAGATAGATCCTAGGGATAATCAGGATAAGTAATTACCTATACTGTCTAAGGATTTACAAATCAATGAATAGTACAAGAAATATTTATTTATATCTTATTCAATCAGGATAGAAAAACTTTGTGACCATCTAAATAATTAATTTTTAATAAAGTCAAAGGATCTGAGGGATGTTTAATCTATCAATTTAATAGGGGTACTGTCTATTGTTTTAAATCTCACTCAGTTGAAAAGACACTTCTTAGAACTATGGTTCACTGAATGATTTATTGCTATTCCTTATAGAAAAGTTAATATATCAAGAACTTATCTAAGATATTGAGTATCACTGATGTTAGGAATCTCTTATATAGGATCTTTATGACTCCTATTAATATGAATATTTTTTGAGAACCTGTTTTATTTTTATTCTTAATTGTTTTTTATATAACACATCTTTACCTCTTATAGAAATCTATCTTATATTTTTCTTTAAACACTGAAATATCTTACTACCTAACTTAACTACTCAAATAGGAATTAGTTTTATATCAAGGATATTATACTATTTAGTTTTGTTTTATTTAGAACTTGTTTTGTATTTTTAGCTTATACACTGAACTGATTTTTCTATTTTATTATAAGTATAATAAGTAATTGATTCCTTGTTATAACTATACTAAGGTAATAGATTATCATCATAAAGTAAATAAGATCTTTGTATCATCAATAGCTTAATTTTCACTTGTCCCTTATATGGTATTGAACTCTAGATCTTGTAATTGTGATCCAAGAGCATTATTATTGTACTATAGACCTACAGGTCATATAATATACAATATATTATAGTTAAAATATTTTATTTCAATTTAATAAACTTATTATAAATAATCAAAATTTTTAGATCTATAGATCAATAGTACAATGAATATATTCTCAGGTTACTTTCCATAAGTTACTGGTTTAATCTCACTTAAGAATGGTTTTTATAATATAAATTATAATATTTTTTTATTTGTTTTTTTTTTTTTGAAAAAAAAACTAATTTATTTTATATCTTCTCTGGTATTTTATTAAAAAAAATTATATTTAGAAACAATATCAAGAAATTTTTTTGACAAAAATCTCTGAAAAATTTTAGGCATAAATCTCCGGAGGCACTCTATTATCATTAGAAGTCTCTGAAGTAGAGATTTATATATAAAACTCTGGAGAATTTCAAATGTTTTAAATTTTAATAAAATAATTTCACATTATTATTAAAATATTTATTCTTAAAAATTTATTTATTAAAAATTACTTTTTTTACATATTTTTATTAATCATTTGCATTTACTATCACTTATTGTTGAAATAGA